TTACGAGAAAAGAACTTGTGCTATTAACTGGGTTCGGGGGGGGGGGCGGGGAGAAAAGAAAAATAGAGATAAAATGGAAAAAGAAGATATTAACTTCAATATTCTGTATACATTTTTTTTCCATTTAGACCTTACATCTCATAGCAAAGTGATATAGATCAAAACATTGCAAAATCAGGGTCTTGTGATCAATTTGATCTTGCTTTGCAGAGAGTGTTGAAATAATCCATCTCATTGCCACAGCTGACCCAGTGATTGATTAAATAAGAGGTTGCTCCACAAGAAAACTCTTCATGACTTAAAAAAGCTTCATTATTAGAATTCTCATATTCTGGAATGGGCTCTGACTTTGCTAATAAACCTGCACATTGATGAAGAAATAATTTTTAGGAACCGTCACTATCTCCATTTGCCAAGGTCATCTGAATGACTCACCTGAAAACTCTCAGCATTCCCTACCTGAAAATGATTACAAAAGCATTTCAGAAGATGCTTTAAATTTTAAATAAATGTCTGCTTCCTGCCTGATAAATCTCCTTGGGTATCACCTAAACCACCAACCCCCCGCCCCGCCCGCTTCCCCCCTATCCCCAATGCTGGGTTGCATCTTTTTTGTAAAGTTATCTTAAATAGTCTTTGCAGAATGGAATTTTATTGCTTAAAAGGACCTTAGGATTCACCTCATGTCCCTTATCTCCTACCATCATTCTAGAGATGAGCAAATGCATCTTTGAGAAAAATGAGCTCCCGTGGCTCTCAAAGTTGAGCCGACTCCCGAGCTTGAGCCCAGTCTTTTGCTCTTCCCCTGCGTTTGCCCTGTTAGTCTAACAGCAGTGCTTTAACAGTGTTCACCACCTAGCTATTATTCTTCTATTGTTTCTCTCCTGACATGCACTGAGACTTAGTGTGTGGGGGGAAGAATGGGTCTCATTACTCTTTGTGGCAATCGGAGAAAATTTTTAATGGTGAATTTTGAGATTTGAGTGTTCAGTGTTTCTAATTCTACGCTGTCAATGACACTTGCTTCTACTAGTTATTTAGCACATATGAATCATGTTATAGTTTCAAAATACTTTTCTATCAATAGCAACTTCTTGGCATGAATCAGGCTAATTTTATTATTTCCTCCTCCCCAAAACAGCATTCCTGGTCACATACTTGCTGGCTGCCCAGATGCTTGGCTGTTTAGATTTCTGAAGTCTACATGGTGTCAGCCAAAAGCTTTGGACTAAGGGTAGAAATAGCCTTACCTCTGGTACGCCTAATTGTCAAGGATCAGGTGGGGGATTGGTGATTGATTTGGAAGCCTCTGTGGTGCGGGGGAGGGTAAGTATCAGAAAAGGGCCAAGGACAGGGTCTGCTTCTTCTCTGACTGACTCCTCACTTCAAGGAGCAACATCACATTTTGAGGGGAAGGATCTATGGGGACACTTTGGATCAGAAATGCACCATGTTGTTGTTGTCAAGAGTGGACACTTAGTGTGCTCCCTTGGCAGAGTGATTCTGAGCACAAACCCAGAGGCAAGTCCAACCTTGGAATAAGAACAAGGCTCTCCTCGGGGATGACTCAAATAGCAAAGCTCTTTGAATCACAGCATTTGAATCTGAGTCATTGATCAGCCTTTTCTTTGTCCTGTAAAGGCAGTTTAAGCACTGAAGTCTAAACCAGATTTGATTCTCAGCCTACCCCTCTCAGGAACCTTCCATCTACAGCCTCCAATGGGGACTGTCCAATCTGCTTTAGACATTGATTTTAAGGATGACCCCTTCATATAAGCCAGTTTGGGGGGGGGGAACTTGAGGGTTTAGGAGAGTCAGTGCATCCTGTAAAACTGCCTCTGCCTCCAAGACACATGGCCCCAGGAATCTTAGTACTCTCACCTTTCTTCTTCCACATTAAAACTCTTCTGTTTTACCAGCAACTTCAGGGGAGTTAAGACAAATGAAATCCAGCTGACGTTCTGGCCCTTCGTGGCCACCAGTGATGATCTAGCACCACAGGCTATTTTTAGAGACTTGCAGGTGCTGTACTGGGCTGTCTCATAGTTAGGTATTTTCATCCCACTCCCACCAAATCCCTCTGGTTTTCGAAGGATCCTCAGACACTCTTATCATCACATTTGCTACAGATTCTTACTCACCTAAACTTGCATGTCTTCTGCTACAGTCTAATTCTGTTCTCTGTTGATTTTTAAAGTCCTGCCAAATAGACCTTGAATAGTAATAACCAAATTTCATGCCTATAGGATGAGCTGAATATAAGATCATAACACTCATCCTTTTCAATCCGCTTCCACCAGTTTCAGTCACAGCCTTCCACTGCCGGTATGCCAGGTGCCTATTTCCAATGCTGCCTCCTCCCTCTCGTTCTCAGATCTCCGGACTATTGCATGAAAACCATAGTCGGCGTTCTTCACTTTGAGGGTGACTCCTCTTTCATATATGTACCCCAGTACCCACTGTATCTGTTTTTCACCCTCCCCTCAACCCCCATACCGCACCAAGGAGAGTCCCCCTAAACTCCTAGCTGGAGATTGCCCTTAGAATCTCTTTTGTTTTATTACTAAAGGAGTGGGCAGATTAGGTACATGGTTAAAATAATCTCAAAGAATATCAGAGTTCTGCAATATGATAAAGTATACAATTAAGTGCAGGCTGCCTTTAAAAGGGGTCGTGGTACTAGGGATATTGTAGCTAATATTAGATGGATCTTGGCTCAAAGCAAGGAATACCAGAGGAATGTCTGTCTTTCATTGATCATGCAAAGGCATTTGACTGTGTGGATCACAATAAACCATGGCTAACTCTGAGAAGAATGGGAATCCCAGCACACTTGATCGTGCTAATGCAGAACCTATGCTTGAACCAGGAGGCAGTCGTCAAAACAGAGCAAGGAAACACTACATGGTTCAAAATTGGGAAGGGTGTATGCTAGGGATATGTCCTATCTCCATACTTTTTCAACCTGTATGCAGAACAGATTATCTGGGAGACTAGGCTTTGTAAGGAGAAGTGTGGCATCAGGACTGGAGGAAGATTCATCAACACTCTGCATTATGCAGACGACACAACCCTGCTTGCTGAAACTGAGAAGGACCAGAATCGTTTGCTACAGAAGGTCAAGGACTGCAGCCTTCAATATGGATTGAAGCTCAATATCAAGAAAACAAAGATTCTCACCACTGGGCCAGTTGGCAGCAACATGATAGATGATGAAGAGATTGAGATTGTTAACAGCTTTAGTTTTCTTGACTCCACAATCAACACTGTTGGCACCAACAACCAGGAAATGAAAAGACATATTGGGATGGTAAAATCTGCTCTTAGAGACCGCTCCAAGAACTGAAGAGCAACGATGCCACTCTGGAGACTAAGGTGTGCCTGACACAGGCTTTAGTCTTTGCAATCGCTTGCTATGCATCAGAGAGCTGGACAATGACTAGGGATGATAGAAGGAGAAGTAATGGGGGTGGGTATTTCGGAGACCATGAGATTGACAGAAGACAGCAGAGTTTAGGGCTGTCGTACATAGGGTCACTGTGAGTCTCAGGCGACTCAATGGCACACAACAACAACAACAATACGCAATTAAGTGTAGCTTTAGGAGGTGATTTTGAACATAATTTTCCTCCCTCTGCCCAAAGAATTCAGTAGTCTTGAAATTCAGAAAGGTTTCGCAAAGTTGACTGGCTGCTAATAAGCATCTTGGTCTCGGTGCTTTAAGTGGGGGTTGTATATTTCTTTAATATAAAGTCAGAAAGAACAACAAGAAGAAGAAAAAGCAGCAACGGAATGCGGAAATGGAGTTAAGAGAAAGCACTGCAAAAAGAACAGTGAGATTGCGAGAGGTGAAAACAATTAAGCTTAAGAAAGCAGCACAAAGAACAGATGTGCCACAGCAAATGTAAAGAAACCATACATGGATAATTCAGGGGAAAGAAAGTACCCTGTTACTCAAACCCTCCGGTTAGTTGGAGCTTTGGGTTGAATGTTGTGGAAATTGGGTAATTAAAACAATCATTGGTTGTTAAGCGCTCTGTATCCTTAGAACCCAGCCCGGTGCCTGGGCTCACAGCTGCCAATGAGTATTTGTGTAATAAGTATCATGGTGATCCAAACACACAAACTATGTTCCTTAGCAAACTATCCTTTTTGGTGACATTCTCTGCCATGCACACATAGGCCCTGGTGATCTAGTAGGATGTGTGCAGGCAATGACCATCTTAAAGAAAAGTGTATAGCATCGATTGACTCCAGTTCATTTAGCAGCATAGAAAAAAAAAAAAATAAAAATAAAAACCCAAAAAACATACACACAAGACAAAACGCCAAGAGGATGGAAGCTTTGAGCACACAGCAGACCACCCCTTGAGGTTTGCCTGCCAGGCTCCTGCTCAACTTCTGTGTCCTCGTCGCCAACCCGAGGCAACCCAGGAGCGAGCCAGGGGCAGTTCAGTGGTAGTAACAGGAATAGGGAAGTCTCTGGGGGGCAGTGTGTCGCTTGTCACCAGCACCTGCCGCTGTCCCTCGCGCCTCAGCAAAGCAGCGGAGGTGGAAGCACGTTGCTGTGCGGTGCAGAAAGGCTCCTAGAGTGGGCCCGCCCGCTGACACCTCTGGGCTCGGGGTGGCGTCCCTTGAGTCCCCGCAGGTGTTCCCCACTCCCTCTCCTCGGCGGCCCTCGCAGCACCAGGCCCGCTTCCCG